AGAACAGCACCTGAAATCCCCTGCAAAACCACCAAACCCGACAGCGATTTCCTCTGTTGGTGCCAGCCATAGCACCTCAGAGGAAAAAGCGGGAATCAGCAGCAAAACGGAAGGTGCCAGCCATAGTACCGCCGTTTTGCAATTAGAAAATTTTAGTACCGGTAGTGCCAGCCATAGTACACCGGCAGAAAAACCAGCATGTAGCAAGCACGCGGCCAGTACCAGCAGTACCCAGCTGCATACGAAACCCTCAAACGCATTCATGAAGCAACGGTACCGGAACGCTCTGTACATGCACGACAAAATCGAGAGAAATGCAATAGCCGAACGTGTAGACGAGCGCGATGAGGAAGATAAGCTTAGATATATGGCCAAGGTGGAAGAGTATGAGAAATTGAAACAGAACGTACTGCCACCACGGGATCTAGCGAAACCCAAAAAAGGAACGAGAGTGGCAATGGAGCTGAGTCCGCAACATCCACCAAGCATCGCTACTTCAGCGACATTGCAAGAGACCATCTTCAGACTTCAACTATTGACGAAGGTAGCAGAACGCCGCTAGCAGTGCAGCAAAAGTTGGTGGAAATCGATGTGAGGCTGTCGAGTCTCGTAATGGACTACGTCCTCGACAACCCCGAAGGTCCTCATCCAGAGTTTGACTCATCGTAATTTCTCAGGGGATACCGGGTCATCAAATGCGCGGACCAGTTCTCCTTGGACTTCCTCGCTGGGTATGTAGAAAAGATCAGCGACGCATTCGAGGGCTTGAAGCTCAAGCTCATACCAGCCAAGGACATCCCTAGGAGGCCCCGTGCGCGCATTTGGTTACCTCCGATAGCCGAACCTGGCGAAAAGTTGCTGCGGTGTGTAAATATGCATAATAAAAACATACCAGCAATAGACAAGTTGGAGGTCATCAAAGTTGAAGAGCCGATAAAGCCCACAAACAAGCCAATTCTCCTAGCGATTTACTCCGAATCTTTGGAGGCCCTAGCAGAGGCGGACTATAAGATTCGGTTCAGTATTAGAAAAGCTAAGGTAAGAGTATTGCTTGGTGAAGTCAGCCCAGTAGAAGAAGACCCGGGCGTCGACGGTGCAGGCGAGCTCCTTATGGGAGTGAAACTGAGCGATGAACCGGACCAGTAAGATAGTCCAAATAAATCTGCAGCACTCGAAGTGTGCTACAGATAGTCTAGTCGTACTTCTCAGCGAAGAGGACATCGACATTAGCCTAATACAGGAGCCCTGGGTCAGGAACGACGAAGTAATGGGCCTTAATATCAACAATTACAATCTCTTATATATTCTTATCAAGAAGGGTGTAAATGCATTCCTTTGCTCTAATTTCAGCACAGCAGACACAACAGTAGCTAAGGAGAAGACAGCAGGATAACAGGACGTCTTATTGGTGTCGTCTTATATGTCCCATGAACGAGACAGTCCGCCACCGGAAATCAAAATTATAGTAGACCGGAACCCCAGACGAGCTATTGTCATAGGATGTGATGCAAACGCCAGGCATCCAGTTTGGGGCATCACAATAGAAAACGAGCGAGGTGAGTCACTCCTACACTATTTATTAAACACTAGTTTGAGTATTTGCAATACTGGTAACCGACCAACCTTTATCTTCCCAAGTTCAGACCGGTTTCCTGGGTGGGAGGAGGTGTTGGACCTAACGTTGCCGTCTGAGAACGATGGCGTTACCGTTGAGAACTGAAGGGTTTCCGACAGGCCATCAATGTCCGATCACTGCTGGATACTGCTTAATCTATGCGGAGTATCCTACACCCCCTCTAAATACAGCAACCCACGTAGAACCAATTGGGAGAAATACAATAGTGTTTTGACGCGAAAACTAACTAAAGTTAACTGGTAGAAAATATTTCCTCATAAGATGAGATAGAACGAAACGTAAGCAACTTAGAGGGGGCGATGACTAAAGCCTATGAAAGATCAACCCCACTGAGTGTCATGCAAAAGAAATCCCCGCCATGGTGGAATGGGGAGCTTAGATCTCTTAGAAATAGCGTTAGAAAACTTTCTAACGATACCCTTCAAAATTCGCCTTCGAGTGGTGCTTTGCGATAGCTTTGCGATAGATATTAGAACACACTTTCTACCATACAGTTTCGATTATAAAAAGCGGGAAAATGTGATTTTGTATTTCGGAACTGTATGGTGGAAAGTGTGTTCTAATATCTATTTGATACACAAAAAATTGTCACGGCTGTACTTTTTGCTGATATATTACATGCATATGTTCCATTTAGTTAAACAATATAAGAATATTGTAGTATGTACCACAAAAACGTATATTTTCTATAAAAAATCATAACTCAAAAAAAAAAATATTCGCTATTAGAGATTTGGGTTGAGTTTAGTTCAAAGTATCTCTTTCCCGGTAAAAAAGTTTGAGAGAAAAAAAAATACACTTTTTTAGAAATTAAATTTAAAAAATTTGCACTTTTTGTTTATTGTTAAATAAAAAATTTTAAATAATGAAAATTAATAATTATATCATTCTATCTTGAAGTGACAAGAATTACTGACATTTGAGTAAAAACATTGTTGGAATCTATTAAATTTTGACAAAGTTATGGGCATTTAAAAAAAAAATTCTCACTGTCAATTCGAATAATCGATTTTTGCCTGAAAAACAAAATCGCCTTTAATTCGGCCGAAAAATTTTTCCGAGCCAAAAGAAAAAATACGTGTCTCATTATTAGGACCAACAAACAATGTATTTGAGTTTGGTCGAAATTAAAAATCATGCTCGTACCTGACCGGTTGTCTGGAAATGGAAAGCATCTTCAGAAAATCTTCCTCTTCTTTTAGCTTCTTATTCAACTTCTTTTGGCTGCGTTCCTTTTTAAAATAATATAATTCTCGCGGTTTTTTTACGTAAATTTTTATTTTTGAGCCTATTTGAGTTAGAAAGAATATAAATTTAACTATGGGGCAATAGCACGTTGAATATCTTACAATGCTGTTTTCAAAATGAGCCCTATCTCTAACTAAATAAAAAATAATTTTACCTCAAAATTCAATTAGTAAAATAGACTCGTCCGTTACAAATAGTTTTCCATCGAAAACACATGGATAGTGAAGAGCATAGGAAACTACTTTATTTTATTGTGAAAGAAGGCCGAAAATGCTCGAAGAAAACCAGATTTTTGCATTTTTTAGCTTGGTGGATTCCGCACCTAAAAACGTTTTGATATTTTGGACTGTTACATTACATTAAAAAACGCTGGCGACTTTGTTTTCATTTAGAAAGCTAATCACTGATTATTTTGTTGAATAATTTTTTATCAACTTCAAATTAGGGATATTCCGATACAAGTAAATACGAGTATGCACTCGATACTTTTGTTTCGATACCAACTACTTTTTTACTCGAATCGTTGTTTCGATGCCTAATTGGTATCGAAAGAAAAGTACTTGTATCGGATCGATTTGGGCAAGTGCCATATCTTGTCGGCCATATTTTTTCTATGGAAGAAACTGCGTCGTTTTTAAGAAAAATAATTGCTTTAAGCATTGGCACCGCGAAAATCTAAACTGTGGATATATTTTTACAGAGTTAGTGATACGACAGCAAAGTACAAGCAATGCTTTGAAGCCGTGAAGTTTTGTGGGAACCTTTCAAAGGTTGAATTTTTAGTCCAAGTAATCGTATTACTAATGAACAAGTATACATATCGACACCTGAGTGGAAGATCGGCAGTCAGTTCGAAAACGCAAAAGGTATGACACAGATAACGCCTGAAAATTACTTTCGCTTTATTGTATTTAAAAGGATGACAAATTATCTATATAAGTAGGTATCAATACATTCGGTTTACTCATATAAGGAGTATCGAAATATAATAATATAATATAATATAATATTTGAGTAAACTCATTTAAGTAGGTATCGATACTCTGATGGTATCGGAACGTCCCTACTTCAAAGTAATACAAGGCAAGCGAAGAGAAGCGAAGAGAAGCAAGTACAATGCCAAAAATGGTGACCCTTAACTTCATGTTGTGCTTTTTTTTAATTTTCAATAAATTAAACGTGTCCCAGGATTAAATGAATTTTCATGGTTGAGAGAAGGAGATTCGTGTTAATATTTATATTGTCTGATACATCAGAATATTTATGACCCAGATATATAGTAATAAAAAATCTACGAAACCTGAAAAAACTGTTCCCCTAGGTTTCGTTTCGGCGATTTGGGCTATATGCTTTTAAGTTAATAGAACTTATATATAAGAGCCCGTGATTTTTTAGGCCTGGGCCCGAGTTTTCTCTCGACGGCCCTGTTATTACGTTTCAACTAAACATGCCAAATATGAAACATATAAGAGATAAATACGGTTTTGAAAAATATCTCGACCCTGGTGCCACCTAAAGAGACCATTTTTGGCAAAAATGTTTCTGCTTACATAACCAGTATATATTGTAAATAGCCGCCAAATCGGCCTATATATAAGTTATATAAGATATATAGATTTTAAAATTTTTTCAAGGCAAGCTTGAAAATTATTTAACCCTTCAAAAAGATCCTTGTTCACTTAGAGCCGTTTGCTTTACGCTAGCTGGAGGCAAAATATCCAGTTAAACACTGCTTTATCGATAAAATTTTTTATGCAGGAAGTCGATAACGTCGATGACGACGTTTAACTGGGAGTAAGAATTAACCAGAGATGGTGAAACGTCCTTTAATCGCCCTCTAAGGGCCGTTTTCACCATCTCTGGTTAATACTAATCTTTAGTTAAACATCGTTACAGACGTTATCGACACAGTGGTGTATGTATGGAGTCTGCAACGTCGGCAGAGATGGTGAAAACGGCCCTTAAATATATTTGATAGTTCAATTTAGGTTGAAAAGTATGCTAGAACAAAAATCTAGATTGCCCCTATTCACTGCATTACCGCCACTTTCCAGTGATCTAGGATTTTTATCATACAGCCTTAATAAAACATAAGCAGACACACATATGTATTTACCCTTTAGGTCTAAGCCAGCAGGATGTGAACTTTCTCGAATAATCTGTTTTCGCTTGGACTTCCAAAACGGATTCGCATTCCCCAAATGACTCGGACAGCAACAACCTTTTTTCACCTCAAACGCAGAGTCAGTACTGTTTAAAGAATGACATCGACTTTGCGACTCTTCTTGTGGACCTTCATCTGATACGCTGGCGAGATTTTGAGTATCGTTTGAATGTAATTTCGATTCAATGCGCTTAGACCTGCAAAACAATAAAACAGAAACAAAAACTAATTTTTTGCATATATATATAAATGTATGTACGTATGTATACTTAGATGCATTCATATGTTTGCATGCGTACAAAAAAACTGGTAATTTGTATGGATTTTAAATACTTATGCATGCATTGCAAATTCTGCGATCGAAAACTTTTAAGAAAGCGTAAATAAAATATAATCGATTAATGCAAATAATGCATGCATACTAGGGCGGGTCGAAAATCTAATTTTTCTCAAATCCCTTGGTAATAATGAAAATATATTGAATATATCATGAAGTCAACAACAAGCTTGCAAAATATTAGTCTTTTATTTTAATTGTAAGAGCCATCGACCGCCAAGTGATCCACAGCACACTAGTCGAATAAGACCAATTCTTGTTGAAAATTCTGGGTTCAGTAAAACGGTTGATTCATATTTTAGATACTGAAACCGTTAACTCAAAAGAAAAAGTCAAATATCATTTCTCGCAGCCCTTTGGTTTATCGTTAATCTCAAAGTTATCTGTTTTCAATAAAATTTTAATTGTTCTCTTGATAATTCCACTGGCCTATATTCAAAAGATGTAAAGAACAGCATTAATATTGCTGGCGTGCATTTATGTCGCTGTTTCCAAATATTCTAATCTTTTTTTAATATTAGCTATAGTTTGCGAATTTTTGCAAATTTTGGAACGATTTCGGTAGCTCTAATAGAAAAGCCATTTTTTCCATCATCGTGGAACAATTTTTTTATGCAAATGAGTATAGAAACACTGAACAGGCACAACTTCTAGAAACACTAATTAGCTTACTTAAGTTTATGCATACAATATAAAAATTGCAAATATGTATAGGAAAATTACAAAAAATTTTGTTCAAACTTTTTTTATTTTAAAATAATTTGTTTATAATCTGAACGATTTTCGTCTTATTATTATCATAAATCAGTAACTCTGTTTTTGTTATTTTTTTTTGGCCTTTATAACAATTATATCCAACAATTTATATTGAGCTCGAGGCCGTTTTAAATGAAAATTTTTATTGTGGAAAATCAACAATAATTTGAAAAAAATTGTAGAAGTGATAGCTATTTCGGAAATCACCACATTTCCTCATCAGACTTCTTTCAGTAGGATTCGAACCGACGATCCCACTGACTCAGCCAGTTGCCTATGCACCGTGCTAAGTACGCCTTGTAAATTATCGTTTGCTTTTTTCCACTATTTTCATTTTTGTTATGCCAACACAATCAAGCGCAGCTATTCCTCTGCAATTCACTTGATCATGTGGTCGTTGGTATTGTTGGTTTTTTTTTTGTTTGCTAATAATTCTATTTTAGAATGTTTAACTTTTAGGTGTGCTCGTCCTTAAGTTATTTGTTTTTGTTATTTTTTGTGGCCTTATCACAATTATATTCAACGATTTATATTGAGATCGAGGCCGTTTTTTAAATGAAAATTTATTGTGGAAAAGCAACAATAATTTGAAAAAATGGTAGAAGTGATAGCTATTTCGGAAATCACCACATTTCCTCATCAGACTTCTTTCAGTAGGATTCGAACCGACGATCCCACTGACTCAGCCAGTTGCCTATGCACCGTGCTAAGTACGCCTTGTAAATTATCGTTTGCTTTTTTCCACTATTTTCATTTTTGTTATGCCAACACAATCAAGCGCAGCTATTCCGCTGCAATTCACTTGATCATGTCGTTGTTGGTATTGTTGGTTTTTGCTAATAATTCTATTTTAGAATGTTTAACTTTTAGGTGTGCTCGTCCTTAAGTTATTTGTTTTTGTTATTTTTTTTTTTTTGCCTTATCAGAATTATATTCAACAATTTATATTGAGCTCGAGGCCGTTTTTAAATGAAAATTTATTGTGGAAAAGCAACAATAATTTGAACAAATGGTCCCACTGAGTCAGTGGGATCGTCGGTTCGAATCCTACTGAAAGAAGTCTGATGAGGAAATGTGGTGATTTCCGAAATAGCTATCACTTCTACCATTTTTTCAAATTATTGTAGCTTTTCCACAATAAATTTTCATTAAAAAAGCGGCCTCGAGCTCAATATAAATTGTTGAGCATAATTGTGATAAGGCCAAAAAAAAATAACAAAAACATTTATTTTTTAACTAAAATATTTATGTACATATATCTTAACACTTAATGCACTTCCCCTACTTTCGTATAACGGTAAATTTAGAAACCGCGAAAAATGTGCTTCTTCGGTGACTAATGAAACCATTCCGCACCATTTTGCAATACTGCATAAATGGACTCACCCTAATTGTATTATGTTAATGTGTGCAAATACTTATATGCTGGAAACTACTATTAACTTATCAAATGATTCCTTATCTTTGACAATACATGTTTGACTTCATCCACCACGATTTTGAAAACTGACCAAATCGGCGTGACCAAGTCCATGGTCCTTTTAATATTATATAAACATACGAAATCATTAAAACGATTGAAATAAATCTCTTCTGACTTTTTTTTATTTTTCACCTGGTTGCTGAAGTAATGAAGAATTGAAAATTCATAAGGGAAAGTTATTGCTTTTGTAAGTTTTATCTTAATATCTTAAAAACTATTAGACTTATTGAAAAATGGTAAATGAACGTGAGGTACTAAATTTAATAATCCTTAATTTGGTATATCACCCTGTTTATAACAATAACGCATTCCATAGATATTACAAGCCAAAGTTTCACTTTCAAAATTCATACACTTTGATTCGATTGCGCTGGCTAAAGATAAGTTTTAAATTAATTTTTCTTGGCCATTAACAATTGGCTTATACCTAAGACATCATAATATTACTATTACAATGCGGTCAAATAACTTTTTTTCCCCCAATACAAAATCGACTCAGCCTATTACATATATATGAGGCACTCTTTTTCATATCGAACACCAACACCGTTCTTCGGATATATGATCTGTCAAATTTTGGATTTTTTCGTGATTCTGACTAAATAATCATGAACTTCTTCAAATTGTTATATCTCAAGTTGTGTTCATCGTAGAGACTTGATTGTTGGCTCTCACAAAATAAACCACTTCATCATAAAAAAAAAGAAAACATTTTAAAAATAGTTCCTGAAAACCTCAAATTTGTTTGAACATGTTTTTCATAGAGAATTAAACATGGTGTAATTTTAAATCCCAAACCTAAAAACGTTCAACTGTTAATATCTAGGTTAACTTTAGGACAATCATAACCATCATATAAAGCCAAGTACAGTCAAATGTACTTCTTCGTAATATTTTGTACTACCTTTTAGGTTGAGTTTTATTTAACTGATTCGGAAAACTCGAAAAGGTTAGTCATCTCAGTTAAAAAGGGGACTCCCCAGTAGAACTTGGGAGCATCGTACGATTGCTCGTTGAGTACTCCCTCGGGAGTATACTAATACTCCCCATTGCCCCATATGCTTCTGTGTATAAGCATGTAATATTGTATACTCCCTTTAACATTGTATGCCCTAGGAGGGCGAGTAATCCCTTTTACCTCCTAAACGAGCAATCAGGGATCACACACAAAAATAGCATCCCAAAAACCTCCTAAGCGAGCAATACGGGAGTACTCTCAGAATAACCTCCCAAAAAGACAACAAGGGAGTGCACAAAGAAAAACATCCCACATTCCTCTCGAACGAGCAATAAGGGAGTACTTCCATAAGAGGCATCCCGCAAGCCTCCGTTACGAGCAATAAAAGATGGTTTATCTCCTCCTAAATTCCTCCTCATGGAGTAATAGATTACAACTTCCACATTGCTCCATAATGAGCATCCGTCATAAGCAAAACAAATTTTGATATTTACGCATTCCATTTAATTTTTTTATCACATGTGCACATTAATATAACATCTTACACTAGATAAAACATACATATATGTACAAATAATGCTTATTTAATAATAACTAGTACAGAAAAATTATATGAAAAGTAACCATTACAAACATAGAACGGCGAGATATACCATGAAAGTATGTTTATGATTCGCTATGTGGCGAAAATACTTTATTGGTAATTGACCGGTATTCACATGCGAGTCCACAAAAATGAACCGCATCAAATTGTTAACAGCTTCCGGCCGATTTCAGGCAGGTATTCTCTCATTCCCACAGTCAGGCTGTAGGCGATTTGTCAAATTCCTTGTTGTTTCGATAAATTTCAAGCCAGCTGGAGCAATAATTACCACTTCAAGGTATTTACATATTCAGATTTCAAAATCCTTTAATGGCAAATGCGACTCTTACCTCTCGACACCCAATAAAAGTTCTGAACGGGACAGGATCAGAAACGTAATAGCTCTAATATCTCAAGGTGTCACCATCTGAAATGCATTTTGAATTAAATAATGAAATCATGAAAAAGTTTAAACAAATTTTGGCATACATACCGATGGATCATAATGTTGGATGTCCAATTTATTTTATTATTTCAAGATTATATTTTTTTCATCAAGAAATATGTACGTATGTACATATTTACAAATGTATAAGTTACCTATCTGTCTTATTTTATTCATAATACATTTTTCAAAAAATACAAAATTGATTTGAACGAGGTGCATATACCTGCCCTATAAATTAAAAGGCATACTCTTGGATGTCTCGCTTAGGAGACCTCGCTTTTTGCTCCTAAGCGAGTAGTAACGGAGTACGAAACAGCCAAATCTCGCTTGTTGCTTCGAAATCATGTCTCAGGGAGGACTCTTTTATTGCTCCCGTAGGAGATCTCCCATTTGACTTCTAAGCGAGTAAAACCGGAGTACAGAACTGAAAAATCTCGCTTATTACTCCAAATTATGTCTCAGGGAGGATTCTTTTATTGCTCACATAGGAGATCTCCCATTTGGCTCCTAAACGAGTAATAAAGGAGTACAATACCGACAAATCTCTCTGATTCCTCCGAAATCAGGCCAAAGTGAGTAATCTTTTATTCCTCACATAAAGAGATCTCCCTTCAAGTTCTAATGGGTCGTAG